ATATCAAGCAAGTTATTTAGTATTTATTATTTTAAAAAACTCTTTTCCTGATTTATTTCATATTTCAAATAAGTTTTTGGAATCTAAAGTACTATACACTTCGTATTATCTAACGTTTATCGTGATTACATTTTAAAAGAAAATGAGAGAAGAACGGCATGCGACACGGATACCTGCCTGTACGAGCCTCGGTAAAAGAATGACTGCACGATAACTACGCGTAAACATGACGCGCCGTTTGCCCGCCCTACCGCTGTAAAACAAACCCCAAGGACGTAGGCCAACCGTCTAACTGTCGAAATATTAACATATATAATTACGAAATAAGTAAAATAATCTGTTACATTTTTCATATTCTTCGATGAATAGGCTTCATTGCTTTATCTCTTAGATTCTTTCGTGCATAAATAACTCATCTATAATTTAAATATTTCAATTGTGTTAGAATATGCGATTATTAGTTTGTAATCATTTTATATTACATAAAATCAGCGCAGTTTACACAATATATTTAATAAAAAATTAATGCCTTGTGGCTTTTTGTTACTTTTGAATTGTTAAATTCTGTCATTCGCGTCTATTATAGTGCACAGCATACTAATGCACCTCAACTGAATAAATCGCTATAAGTTATTATAGTATTACAATTCATACTTACTAATAATTGTCGATAACGTTATCGTTCTTTGATTACTTCGTGGGCCCTATTAATAGTCACTAAAATTTTCCCAGGGCCGATCGTTAGTATTTCCACCGACGAGATGCTATTAAAGACCGACATCCTTACGAGAGTTTGCGTCTTTGTGAATATTTAAGAGATAAATAATTAAGAGAGATTAAAAACTGATAATATTGTACTAATTTTATGATTTATTAGTTTAAAAGACGTATGCATTTAGAACTCAATAATACTCGATTTTTCTTTAAAATTGTAATTTTTCTGCAATATATTGGATATTATAGTTTTACAAGTATGCATATTTATTTATGGAACATTTAGGTAATAAAAAATCATGAATTTAATAATATATGAGCCGAATATTTACGTTAATAATAGCAAATTTATATCAATTGTCGATAATCGGCATTCTTCAATTACCTTCGGGTCCTTTTTATACCTCCGAAAATTTGCCCAGGGTTGACGGTCTTTAATATTACCGTCAGTAGTATTTCATTCGCAGTGATTATGATTTTATCGACAGGGTCAGAAAATGTAGTACGTAGTATCCAAATCGAAAATAGATGTACTGGCGGTAGTGTACAGGTAATTTTTCAACGGTGTTACGAAAAACGCCGGCATAGCCTTTCTCAAGTTTCTTTCTAATAAAGCTCATTGACTGTAAACGATTTGTTATTGTTATTTAGTTTATGAAACGGAAAACTTGTGAAAAATGGTCATAGCGATTGGATTTGAAGGTAGTGCGAATAAACTGGGTGTAGGAATAATTCGCGATCAACATATATTATCGAACGTACGACGTACTTATGTTACTCCACCAGGAGAAGGTACTGAACCTCAAAGTAATATATATATTAAATTTTTTATTAATGCAAGTTATTTCTTGCATTAATATTATTTTTGCTTTCTATTTAGTTTGTATCATTATTTACGTTTAAATTGCAAACTATAATTCCAATTATACTTTTATAATTAGAAGATAAGTATGAGAAAAGGTAGATTTAAATTAAATTAAATTGTGCATAAGTATTTTAATTTTATTAGAAAATATTGTGTAGTATAAATCAGCCATATATTTTTTAATATAATTGAATTAAATTTATATTTAAAATATGATTAAAGTTCTAAAAATCAAATTTCAAGAGTATATGAATCGTAATTGTGTTTACAATTAAAATTTTACATATAAAGGGCATTGTGTATTCTGTATATTTATTTGATATTAATTACATATGATATGTTATTTATTTATTTATTTAATATTCTTATCATTCATGAATCAGTATCAATTAGAGTTTAATTATAATTAATACAGTACATATATTGTAAAAAGGAAGTAATAAAAATAGAAAGTATCTATTTTACAAGATATAAGGTTTTTTTTAGTTTAATGTATTTTTAAAATACATTTTATTAAGTATTTCTTAAACTTTTTAGTAGATCTATATTCACAGAAGTTCTAAACATTAGATAAATATATTAACAAGTAATCTAGATATGTTTTTATATTAGGTTTTTTACCTCGAGAAACAGCTCAACATCATAGAAAGTATGTATTAGAAGTTTTGCAAGAAGCCTTAGATGATGCAAAGATTAGTCTGAAGGATGTGGATGTAATTTGTTATACAAAAGGACCAGGAATGGGAGCACCATTGACAGTTACTGCTTTAGTAGCTAGGACTGTCGCTCAATTATACAATAAACCTATAGTTGCAGTCAATCATTGCATTGGTCATATTGAGATGGGACGTTTAATTGCTGGTACTGACAATCCTACCGTTTTGTATGTTTCTGGTGGAAATACTCAAATCATTGCATATTCTCAACAAAGATATCGTATTTTTGGTGAGACAATTGATATAGCAGTTGGAAATTGTTTGGACAGATTTGCAAGACTATTAAAGCTCTCAAATAATCCTTCTCCTGGATATAATATAGAGCAGTTAGCAAAAAAGCAAGTAGATTTTTAATCTTCATATAAATTTGATTAATTCTAAATTTGTGCTTAAATTTATACTGGATTTAAATAAATTTTATGTAACAAGAGGTGAGAAACTGGTACTGCTACCATATGTTGTGAAAGGAATGGATGTATCATTCTCTGGTATTTTAAGTTACATGGAGGAACATCTTTCCAAATGGCTTGATACAAAGGCATTCACTCCTGAAGATTTATGTTTCTCTTTGCAAGAGACTGTATTTGCTATGCTCATCGAAGTTACAGGTAATTTCGAGTAAATACATTTTTTTTCTTATCTTTTTTTCGTTTCTTTACATTGAGTAATATTGTAGAACGTGCAATGGCGCATGTAGGATCAAATGAGGTATTGATCGTGGGTGGAGTGGGGTGTAATGAAAGATTGCAGGAAATGATGAATATCATGTGTAAGGAAAGGAATGCGACTCTTTATGCAACGGATGAGCGGTTCTGCATAGACAACGGTGTTATGATCGCGGTTGCTGGATTGCTTCAATACAAAAGCAAGGGTGGTACTCCTTGGACGCAAACTACTTGCGTTCAAAGATACCGAACAGATGATGTATATGTTTCCTGGAGAAAATAAAATATTTTCAAGGAATTTTTTCGTTCAAATATTTTAAATTATAATATTTTAATAATTTAAATTTAATAAACGTTTATTATTAATAATTTAAATTTCCTATACATATTACAACATAATATATTGAGTATCATTTATATCAATCGTCGATAATATCAATATTCTTCCATTATCTCCAGACCCTCAGGGGTCCATTCTTTTTGTGAGGATGGAAATTTGACCAGGATTGACAGTTTTTAATAGTACCTCGTCGGTGCCTATGTATAAAACATATAATGTACATGTATTGATTACATATCTTAATTATAATTTATTGATGTAAATTATTATATTACTAAAAAAAAAAAATAAAGTAAGAAATAAAAAGAATTTTTTTATAATGTGAGAGGAATGAGCAAAGAATATATTTGAAGCCAGGATCTATGCCAATTATATCTGATAAACCTTTTTTCTAAATATGTATCGCGTGTTGCATTGTCAGTATGTCGGCTATTTTATAATTATAATGCTTGTGTGCTGGAAGCATTTTTATCTCTTGTTTTTCTGTAAAGTTGATAGTACTTGAGTAAAAAATGATTGAAGACCAATATTCGGCGATTTTTAATAATTAATATCTTGTTAATTATTACGAAAATTGCAAAATAGCAGGGATTTTTCGACTTAGTTTAGTTTACTTTATCTACACGAGAGCGCTTTGTCAATAATATGCGAGATACTCTGTGTATGTGAGTCTGTGTGTGTGTGCGCGCGCGCGCGTATGTGTGCGTATAATATATGTATATGTATATATTTAAAAATAACATGTTCTATTTGTATTCATCACATTTTCTCTTATTATTTCGTAAATATAAATACAATATATACAATTGTAAATATGTAAATGATGCTTGCGTAACATCTTTTGTAATTTCTAGTGCTGTAAAAAATAAATTACGTACGTTACATATTTTTCTCTTAGAAATGTGCAATTTTTATTTGAATGTTTTTTTATTACGATAAGAAACTATTAAAATATTTATAGTAATTATAATTTATTATAATAAATATTAAAATAATTAGTCTGTCTATACACATATTTCTTGTGTCAGATTTTAATCAATGTTTGATTTAAATTTTCTTCATCAAATATTTAAGAGAAAATCTTTAAAAAAGTAAAAACCGGAAATAGTTTTGTTTTCGGAGAAGTTTTAAAGTTATTGATTTTTATATACGATAAGTTGTGATTTTTATTAAATTTACCCTCATTACTTTAATTATGTTAATTATTCTATTTCAACATTTATATTAATATAAAATTTATGTTGATAGATTTTTAGAGAATATGTAATGTATATCGATTGTATTTACAAGTTTGTTAAATACAATATTATTTGCAAATAATTGGACAAATAAATAAGTAGTTGCTAGAAATTGATTGCTACACATTATTCGCGTTTCTGTATTTATAGATGTCTCCTTGTTATACAATAATGTGACTTGCATATAACAACTATCTAGTTTAATATGCCTTCCAAGCCTTCTTTCGATCGTTTCAATACTGACCCTGTTCTGATATTACATCGATCGGCTTATTAATTATATACGAAACGTTTTCTGGGCATATATACGATGTTTTATCGATTTGATCCTAAGGAATGGCAAATGCGTTGGTTGGGAGGATATCTTATTGCATAGTCGAAAACATGAATTTTGGCAATAACACTTTACAAAGTTGTTTCAGCCAAAAAAGAAATCTGAGTAGGGAAGAAACAGAGATGGATACATCAATCGAATTTGGGTAATTGTTCTTCGTGGAACAATGTATGTATATAAGCGAATTATGGATAAAAGTGTAGATTTATAATTTGTTATTATTACTAATTTTCAATAATATAATAATAATATTTGTGAATGATGTTAATAATCCAATCTCTATTGAATTTTAATGAATCTAGTTTTTTTATATTATACACAACTGTTAGAAAATGTATAAATAAGTTAAATGTGTTACGTACTGGTCATTGTATAAAAAGGAAAACTAATTATTAAATTATAATAATTTCCCCTTAGAAAAGCTTGTATGTAATATAAATATATATAAATTTTGCATCGTTTTTTAAATAAAAAATATATATATAATCACATATAATATAC